CTTTGCAGCTTCCACGAGTTTGGAAAATGTCCTTCTCGCAGGCACGCACTAAATGTATCGCGAATTATTTCCGGGGCATTCAGTGCTGCCGTCTTGATGGCAATTCCCGGTATCCCATCCGACCCTGGCGCTTTCCGGGTTCGAATTTTCTCCGCGGCTACTATCAGTTCTGCTTGGGTTACTCCTGTAAACTCGATTTCATCGTCTCTTTCCATTAGGCCTGTTTGTTCTGGTCTCTCCCAATGTCTTGGGAACAGATATCGCACTACTCTGTCGAGGAATAATGGGCAAGATGGTGGTGCGCCACTCCTGGGCTTGATCTTGCGCATGACCGTTTTATACGGCCGGCCCCAGGGGTCCTTATCTACTTCCTCGCAGAAGTCTCGCCAGCACGGTCTCTTAGCTGCTTTGATGGTGACCTTGAGCAGTGATCTTAACTCTTCAAATTTTTCGGTCAGAGCTCGGAAGTTGGGCTTGTTCCTTGCTCTTTGATGGCGCCTTCTGGCTGTAAGACATTTATGCCTCAGGCTTGCGATGTCTTCATTCCACCAGTAAACCGGTAATCTACCCCTTGCGTTGCTCTTGACAGCCATGGATGCATCACATGCAGTGTTGAGAGCTCGTGTGAGACCCTGCGCCTTTTCCTCCGCGGTTCCGGATACTGATATTCCTTCAAGAGAGTAGAGAAATGATTCTCTGTCGAAGGTATTTGGTGCCCATCTCCTCTTGTTTTCCGTTCTCCTGGTGGATACCGCTTTTTTGATCAACTGGAGCCGGTACGTTATGGCTTGATGGTCACTGCCCGTGTACCGATCGCTGACTCTCCAGTTGAGCTCCTCCGTCAATAGTTTGGTATCTATGAAGGTAACATCCACTATGGACGATTTCGCTGCCTTGGAATAGGTCGGGGTCGTTCCTCTATTGGCTACCTCGAGCTCCAATACTCCAAACGCCTCTAGAAGTGCATGCCCGCGAGCATTTGTTTTCGCGCTTCCCCAGTTTACGGCCCATGCATTAAAATCGCCTGCGATGAACACCGGTAGACGTGATGTCATTGCGCTGGTAACAATGTCATCCAGGGATTTCTTAAACTCGCTTATCTCTTCGCTAGGTGGGAGATAGCAACTATATATACGCATGCCAGCCACTTCTATCCACGTAAAGTTTGAGGTTGGATCGGTCATCTTTGCCAATACGTGTAAGTGTCCGCATACCCAGACAGCCGCCCTACCAGTCGCATCTTTCACCCAGTTCGGCTCATCGAGATCACGGTACTTTTCGCTAACTATGACGATGTCGGCCTTTTCCTCCCTTACCAACTGGTGCAGCAGGTCCTGAGCCGCTGCACAGTGGTTGAGGTTGATTTGGAGGACTTTAGTCATTTTTAGCGTGAGATCCCTCCGTCTTTGCATCCGTGCAGTCCGCTGCCTTATGCCCCTCCTTTCTGCACCTGAAACACTGCTTGGAGCGGTCTTCATCGCTTTTGCAGTCCGTTGCGATGTGACCATTCTCCAAGCACCGGTAGCATATTTGTGTCGGTGTGTAAGGCTGAACTCTACAGTTTACTCATCCTATTCTCAGCTTCCCGTTTTCAAGTAGCTTTCTGGCCGCTGCTACCGGGAGTTGGATATGTGCCGCTTATGTGCCGTTGTACAGTCCTCTGATTTTTATGCTGCAACTTGCAGCTGCCTCTGGCCCGATAACTGCAGCTACAGCTTCTATCACTTCCTCAGGTGTGGTTGTCTCATCCATGTCTTTGATCCTGAGGGTTTCTTTATCGGTCATCAGGTGGACTTCTGCTGACTCCTCAAGTGTGGCCAGGACCATCTCTTCTATGTTTGGGGACCTGGTTCCCGGTTTCCCTAGTTCGAGGAGTAGTTCTCCTGCTCTAGTACGCCATATTCGGGTGACTCTTTCACCTATCTCCTTCATGTTGGGTGCTGCCTTGACCTTCCTCAAGATGTCGGCATACGAAGTCTCGCCCAGTGCTTTGATCTTAATAGCTTCTGGGCGAGGCTTCCTGCTCGTGGTCTTAGTGGTTTTACCCTCTCTAGTGCCTTTTTTTTATTGGTCTCTTTTCTCTTCTCTTTTTTCTTCTTGGCTTTGCCCTTTCTTCTTAACTCTTTCCATTCGGAGGCTTTTTTCTCGGCAATCTCCTTTCTTTCTTCGCTCTCCCTTGTGAGCAGGGTTTTTTCCTGGTCGCTTTTGGCCTTCTTCGTTGCTGGCGGGATCGTCGGCGATTGCGTCTCTAAATTTCCATGCTTTTTCGCTTTTTCTCTAAAGATGGGCGATGTTTGGGTCTCATCGTCCCTTACCGTCAGGTTTTCTGTACTTCTTTTGGCCCCCTGGCAGGAGAGCACGCGCAGCTTCGCGTACTCCTCTATCATACAGTCTGCCGTTTTGGCCATGGTCTTCAGTTCTGCGTGGAGGTTCTTCTTTTCTAGAATAAACTCCACCAGCTTTTTGACCTTTCTCTCCAGGCTCTTGAAGCATTTATCAGCTTCACTGCGGTCTTTTTCTTTTTGATTTGATTGATTATTCTTCATGTTGGTCCCACGAGTAGCTAGGGAAGTTGTCGTCGATCCCACGCAGAGCCCCGCGTGCGTGGGACAAGGCTAGATACGAGGGAGTTTCGCCAGGTGCTCCCAAGGCTCCGTTTGGGACTCTCTGTTACCCCCGAGAGCCAACCAGGCTACATCGGCACGGGTCGCTTCACACCTTCAGCTTGGGAGGTCCGTTAACCTGGACGGTGACCCTTTAACAGGGTGCTATCTTCCGGGCCAGATGAGCCTTGGTTTTTTAACGAGGTTGATACTCCTCCCCCTCCTCCTTCCCTGCTTCTTGAGTAGCAGGGTCTCGGGCTTGGGACCGGCGGTGGCGGAGTTGTGTGTGTGTATGTGTGTGTGTGTACGTGTGTGCGTGCGTGCGTGCGTGCGTGTGTGTGTGTGTGTGTGTGAAGTCACGCAAAATATTGTACAATATTCTAAAAATAATCGTTCACTTGCAGTTTGAAAAATAATTTTATTTTGAATACGTATGTGTATTATGTAACGATTTTAGAGCTAATGATGAATTATGGTATACTTTTTCTAGATTTGCAAAGGGGGGGGATTTATCCTCGGAAACACAGCCAAGTGCGCCACTATCAGCCCTGTCACAGATTTATACATGTAAAATGACAAATATATATATAAATATAAATATATATTGTAACGGGGTTGCTACCGTTTAATTAATTTTGTTCGTGTAATCGTATTGAAAAACGCACGTAATTACCTATGTTTAATACGGAAGTCGGAGAGCAAGAGGGAACAGGTGTCAGTCAACCATCTATCTACAGCAGTGAAATTAATACGGCGTGAATAAGGTTAATATCGCTGACGGAATCTTTTATTATCTCTTAAATGTTACACTAGAATTGGCCCGCGTATTTATGTTTGCAATGGCGCTCGCACGACGACGACATACAGAGTCGGGTCGCTCACCGCTTTTTGTTAGCAGAGCTATTACATGCACGCTTCGCTTCGAGTACGGAAAATTGATTATCAGGCATGCAATCGCGGTCGCGAGATTAAGTTGGCCAGCTTACCGTTTCAGCAGTCTTGCGGTGAACGGATGAGCAAGTCGCACTCTCGTAGCGGTAAAGTTTATCTGTTCTTTGTCGTGGATCACGAATTCGCGCGCACACGGTTTTCGCTCTCGATGGCGAAACCTCACACACACACTTGATTCCGCAGAGAACGATGCTGCTTCAGCTGGCTCAGGTCGACACTCCGTATAGCTCGGTAACAACCAATCAGTCGATCTCTGGCACACGTTCGGGCAATTAGGTCGCGAACCTCAATTTTTGTGGCCTCCGTATCGGTAGCTGATTCTCCACTGGTTCGTTTTCAATCGCGCGCGTTCCGCCTCGTCGCGTGCCGAATTCCCTCATTACGTTTTTCGTCTCCCGGTAGGTGCTGTCCCCGCGGGCAGCCACTAGGTTAAGCTATTAGCGCTAATATGACGTTTACCGTCACAATATGTAATATTTTATATGTATAATACTACAATAGCCATAATAATTATATATATACTACAATAGCCAGATATTGGCTTTGGACAAATTTTCCAATTTTCTGAATCTATGTCTATCTGTTGCAGAAGCAAGGCAATATATAACATGTTTACATTTACATACATTAGATTCATATTTCTCATTGGAAAAGTATGCAATAACATTTAAATTAGGACAAATTTCAATTCATTATAATCAGGCAAGAGGCCCGGCAAGAATAAAAATTATCTAAAATGTATATAAATTATTGGTGACTAGTATTTAACGTACAAGTTACATATAACATTATATCATTTATTTTTATTCTATCTCTTCTTCCAAAACTCTAAGTATTTCAATGTGTAATTTTTAAAATTGTGATGATATATTTAATAAATAAATATATTATTTGTTCTATGACATTAAATATGAAAGCTATTTTCAACTACAGTTTTCAGCATCCGTACTATTTTCAAATAATACCAGGCTCATTGATTTGCTAGATATGGTGCTGTTAATATTAAATAAATATATACTTACTTAATTTATTTAAGCCATGTATATAAAAAAAATTGGCTTTCGTGCCATTATAAAATAAATTTCATTACTTTCAAAAGTTTAGAAACAATTCATAGTAAAAAATAAAACTCAGTTGAGATACATAGTGAGATAAATAATAATTAACGATGATTCAAAAAGAGATTTGATAAGTCATACAGTATGAAGTAATAGAGTAGTATATACAATAATAAATTCGCATCCGTGCCATTATAAGATTGATTTCACTACTTTCAAAAAATTAGAAACAGTTAATTCATAAAAAAACTAAAACTCAATTAAGATACATAGTGAAATACATAAATAATTTAAATAGAGATTTGATTAAAGTGTATAGTAACACGTAAGAAGGTGAATCTCATCCATTAGCACCTGAACTGACATTTTTGGAGACCAAAGTTCAAAAATGTCCTATAGGCAGGTACTAAATAGTTATGAGGAAAATCAGACAAAATTAGCTCCAAATCACGAATACGAATGGATAATGGGAGAACAGCAATATCACGAAATACCCAAAAATAACACTTTACTTTCTGATAAAACAAAGAAATTTTTGAAAACTTTATCCACAGTTCAAATGTATGAGTTATATTTTGCTAGCGATCTAAAAGAATATATCATAAAATGTACAAATTCTAACGTGTATCAGCTAACTGCTGACAAATTCGAAATTTTTTTGGGAATAATCATTACGACAATATTTAATAATCGTAAATCTCAAAGAGATTATTGGTCTTCAAATGAGTTGTTTCGCTGCAATCCGATTGCATCTGCCATGAGCCGCGATAAGTTTCTGAAAATCAAACGAAATATAAAATTTAGTGAGTCGCAAGATGAAAATGAACCTGACAAAGTTTGGAGAGTAAGAAATATACTAAACATATTTAGAAAAAATATTTCACAATTCGGGTTTTTCTTTACGGCTTTATTCATTGATGAGATGATGGTAAAATTCCACGGGCGAGCTCCAATTTTACAATTTATGCCAAATAAACCTGAAAGGTTTGGCATAAAAATGTGGAAAATATGCAGTCCAGAAGGATATTTATTTGATTTAGATGTATATTGCGGTCAAGGATCTAACATTTATTCATCAGATAATAAAATTAGTTAAATGTGCTGCGGGTAGTCGCGTTGTACGAGGGTCGTTTGAAAAGTCCGTGCAAAAATAAAAACTGCTTGATTTTTTTAAATAAATCTTTTTTATTTTTCAACATAGTCTCCTTTTAGGCTTATACACTTCATCCAACGCTGCTCTAGTTTGTTAATCTCTTCCAAATAATAAGATTTGTCCAAGTCTGTAAAATAGGCATTCGTTTCTGCAATCACCTCCTCGTTTGAATAAAATCTTTTCCCCGCCAGCCATTTTTTCATATTAGGGAACAAATAGTAGTCCGACGGAGCCAAGTCTGGAGAATAGGGGGATGTGAAACGAGTTAGAACCCTATCTCCATCAGTTTTGCGACCACAATGCTAAGGCGTGAGCTGGCGCATTGTCGTGGTGGAAGAGGACTTTTTTGTGGGCCAATCGTGGACGTTTCTCTAGCAACTCGGTTTTCAAACGATCCAATAACGATGAATAATATTCGCCTGTCATGGTTTCACCCTTTTCCAGATAGTCGATGAAGATTATTCCTTGCGAATCCCAAAAGACAGTCGCCATAACCTTCCCGGTCGAAGGAATTGTCTTCGCCTTTTTCGGAGCAGATTCCCCCTTGGTAACCCATTGTTTAGACTGTTCTTTGTTCTCAGGAGTGTAGTGATGTATCCATGTTTCATCTACAGTGATGAAACGACGCTTAAAGTCTTGCGGATTTTGCTGGAACAGCTGCAAACCATTCTTGCAACACTTCACACGATCTCGTTTTTGGTCAATCATGAGCAATCGCGGCACCCATCTAGCGGATAGCTTTTTCATGTCCAAATGTTGGTGCAAAATATTATATACCCGTTTGCTCGAGATGCCTACAGTACTAGCAATCTCACGCACCTTCACTCTTCTGTCAGCCATCACCATATCATGGATTTTATCAATGATTTCTGAAGTGGTAACCCCAACAGGGCGTCCAGAACGTTCAACGTCTTTTGTGCTCATATGGACACTCCAAAATTTTTGAAACCACTTATAAACCATTCTAATCGAAGGTGCACAATCACCATAATATTTATCAAGCTTCTGTTTAATCTCCTGAGGCGTTTTGCCTTTGAAAAAGTAATGTTTAATCAATACACGAAATTCTTTTTCGTCCATTTTTTACAACCACTTGATTTCTTTGATTGAAACGAATGTAAAACGCAAAGTAATTGGCCGATCTGGCTGAAACTTGGTGTGTGCTCTTCCAAGATATGCCACTAACTAAAAATAACCTTGATACGCACTAGTAGCGCCATCTCTCTGACTTTGCACGGACTTTTCAAACGACCCTCGTAATGCTAATGGTCCAAAAATTGCTTTTGACGGTATCTCCAAAAATACTATGCTGGTATCTCTTGTATTTTGATAATTACTTTTGTGATCCAGACTTACTAGTTTACTTGAAAGAAGTTGGTTTTGTTGCTACAGGAACCGTTCGATCCGACAGAATAAAAGAAAAAAATGTACTGGATAAAAAAGCTAAAAGAGTTACTTACGTAGTCAAACACAAAAAAACAGTAAGCTCAATTTTATAACTGTTATTAATTCAAAGCCCGTTTCAGTTTTGTCAACAGCAGCTGAAGTTACCCTTACAAATAGCGTTAAAAGATACTCGAAAGACAGCCAATCTAAAGAAGAAATACCATTCCCTATGGCGTTCAGACTGTATAACATGTTCATGGGGGGCGTTGATCAACATGATGCTCATTGTAGCAATTTACTTCCACAAATACGAGCAAAAAAATGGACTTGGTCAATTTTTTGTAGATTGATCCAATCGTCAATTACCAATGCAACTGTTATTTGAAATTTAGTTCACGAAATCCATTTTGGAACCAAAAACATATCTTTGGAAATTGCAAAATACTATCATGACAAGCACAAAAATGAAAAAGTACATGAAAGTATTAGTGTTGTTTAGAAAAGGTACTGCGAATACGCTAGTAAATGTCAGTCAAGAACACAGAAAATGTGTAAAACCTGCAATATTTATGTAATCTTGCCATGCTTTTCAATTCATAAAGAAAATAAAATAAAGTTTTCAAAATTAAAAAAAAAAAAAAATAAAAAAAAATTATAAAATACAAAAAAAATAAGGCTCTCAAAATTACCTCCACCTCCTCGTGGTGAAAGTCGGGCAACGGCAACAGCACTTGTCGGCTAAGCAACGTACGTAGTTGAATAAATGAAAATATTTTTCGTTAGGGTGTAAAGTACTTTTTCCGGAAAATCAAAAATTTTCTTTTACGGTTCTGAAAAAATATGAGAGTGTTCGTTGATCAATTTTAAGATGTTTTTGTTCTTAGGAATGAAAACGTTTTTATTTATTATTCTTAAAGTCCATACAAATTTAGAAAAAAATGCTGAATATGAAAGTAAAATTTTTTTTTCTGGAAGCCATTTTTTATGGATAAAATTTTTTTTTCATCAATCTTAAACCCCTAACTTTTAGTTTAGGGTCTATGGACGCGATATTTATCGGTATTAAGTATGTAGAAAAATGCATAAGCAAAGAAAAATGTTCTTAAATGAAAAAAAATCATGTTTTATTTTTTTTAAATTTACAATTTAGACATTAAAAATCACATTTTAGGAATCTCCAACCATCACCATTCAAAAGAGGGAGCTTCAAAACGTGGGGTACAGTGGTTGAACATTTTTTTTCGATCAAATTCATTACATCATGTATCTCTGAACTTTGGTCCAACTTGGTGTCCAAAAATGTCCGTAAGGCGCTAATGGGCTAAGCAACAGTTTACTTTGTAAAATTTTGTATAATGGTATTTAAATAAGATTGATAAAAGAAATAGTGTGTTTGAAAGAGCAGTAATAATAATATCAAGAGACTAAAAAATATATAGCATAATTTTTATATAATTTTACAAAACATTCATGCAACTTTTTACTTTGTTGAGTGTTTTTTACAGAATCAAGAAATTGGCGGTATATCGACAGAAAACGAGCAGGAATCAGAGGTTGACTCTGTTTAATCTAAGAATAATGTACAGTCTCAAAAAGATAAGCGTCAGGTAACACGAAATAAAATAGAACACCGAGACAGCATGTACGAATGGAATACCGTGCAGATTTGTCGAACAGTAATATAAAATTAACAATACATATACAGGGTGTCCCATTTTAACTTACGCACCAAGATAACCCAAAAACAATGAGAGCTAGCGAAAAATGTTTCGAATAAAAGTTACTCGTCTCCGAGGGGGACATATTATGGTGACCTTGACTTTGACCTCGAGGGTCATTTTCAAGGTCATTTGAAGGTCAACTTTGTTTTTTCAAATAGGAACCCCTATTTTCGACCCCGGATTCGGAAAGAGCGGAAAATTCTACGTTTAGATAACCTATCATGCGTGGGGTCCGGGAGACCCGCCAAGGTCATTTGAAGGTCAACTTTGTTTTTTCAAATAGGAACCCCTGTTTTCGACCCCGGATTCGGAAAGAGCGGAAAATTCTACGTTTAGATGACCTATCATGCGTGGGGTCCGGGAGATCCGCCAAGGTCATTTGAAGGTCAACTTTGTTTTTTCAAATAGGAATCCCTAATTTTAACCCCGGATTCGAAAAGTACAAAAAATCCTAAATATTTTATGTAATGAATTAATTCAACTTTCCATGGCCATTTAAACGTCAAATTAATGGCAAATTACTTTACTCAGAACAGTTTCATGTTTTCATATGAGAAATAAAGTATGCGTAAATTTTAGAACACACTAAATTTATTCAACTTTTTATGTACAGAGTTTAACAAAAAAATATTAGTCATTAGTAGTAATAATCAACAGTATTAGTCAATCTGATGAGGAATAACTCAATAATAACAATAATAATGATCTGGCAATAAGTTGGTGATGAATGATGCGCACGCACAATTACATGAGATGTTCAATAGGTCCCCCATTGTTTGCTAAGCATGTTTCCAAACGCCGATGATAATTATTAAGAACGTTTGTAAGTATTTCAGGCGTAACAGCTGCACAAGCTCTTCTCACTCCTTCCATCATATCTAATCTAGTGGTAGGTGCATCCTTGTAAACAGCGTCCTTGCAATATCCCCAGAAATAGCTGTCTAGTGGATTCAGGTCAGGAGACCTAGGTGGCCAGGGAACTGGACCACCTCGACCTATCCAATGGTCACGTAATTGAGCATTCAAAAATTCTCTAACGTTTATAGCAAAGTAAGCTGGAGCACCATCTTGTTGTAGCCACATGAGCTGCCGAACATTCAGTGGGATGTCCTCCAAGTATTCAGGTAGATGATTCTCCAGAAAATCAAGATACGCTTGGCCGTTGACATTGCCATAAAAAAAATGGGGACCAATAATATGCCCGTTGAATATTCCCACCCAAACATTAAGACTCCAACAGTGTTGATTTATCACTTGACGATGCCAATGAGGATTGACAGGTGACCAATAATGACAATTATGTCTATTGAGTTTACCGTCACTTTTGAAGGTAGCTTCATCGCTAAAACAAACATTCCAAAAGAAATTGGGATCTTCGTCCAGTTGATTAAGAGCCCACCTACAGTAATTCATTCTGAGTAAATAATCATTTTCATTGAGTTCTTGGTGCAGGATGATGTGGTATGGATGGTAACCCACGGATCTTAACATCCGATGAGCAGTAGTACGAGGTACGCCCAACCGACGTTCGATTTCTCTTGTACTGATGTGAGGATTCACATGAACCATTGCTAACACAGCAAGAAGTCTTGGATCATTGTTGTTCACATTTCTGTTTCCACCTCTCTGTCGATGAAGATCATTCATACGGCAACGTCTTTCGATATTTCTGATTTGCCTGTCATTAGGATGGCGCTGGTTCGGAAAATGTTCAGCATAGAGCCGAGCAGCAGCTCGGTAGTTCCGGCGACATTCACCAAGTACTAACAATACTTCAACGACTTCATTTCCTGAATAATTGGTCATTCTGTGAAGAAATATCAAAGACGTAATGCA